CCAACCTTCCTTCCGAGGAGTGGCTGGTGGGTTTGAACCGCCAGCCTTCTGGTTAGCAGTCAAGTGCTTTAGCCACTATGCTACCAGAGCTCCTCACATAATACATACACACTTAAAAAGGATATCTAAACTAAATCAAATTCACTGCCATCAAGTTGAATCTGACTCATAGCAACCCCTCTTTGGGTTTCCATGGTGGTATTTCTATGGAAGTAGAGTGACCATTCTTCCTTCTGAGAAGTGGATATCTACATATACCTAAAAAGGAGGATGAAATATAAAATAATTACTAAGTTTGATTTGAGGAAATAAAATAATTTAAAATAATCTTGGATATGCAGTAAAACCATAGTTAACTAATCTTTTATATGACATTTTTTCCTTGCTCATCCTATTCGTCTACCACTTGTCTGACAGTTTGTTGTACTCTGGTGGCTTGCGTGTTGCTGTGAGGCTGGAGGCTATGCCACTGGTATTTCAAATAACAGCAGGGTCACCCATAGTGGACAGGTTTCAGTGGAGCTTTCAGACTAAGACAGACTCAGAAGAAGGAAGGGACCATCCACTTCTCAAAGAATTGGCCACTGAAAACCTTAGGAATAGCAGTGAAATATTCTCTGATATATTACTGGAAAACTGTGAATAGCCATGAAACATTGTCTGATACAGTGCCAAAAGATGAACCCCCTCAGGTTGGAAGGCATTCTAAATACAACTGGGGAAGAGTTGCCTCCTCAGAGTAGAGTCACCCTTAATGATGTGGATGGGGTAAAGCTTTTGGGACCTCCATTCGCTGATGTGGCATGACTCAAAATAAGAAGAAACAGCTGTAAACATCCATTAATAATCAGAACATGGAATGTATGAAGTATGAATTTAGGAAAATTGGAAGTTGTCAAAAATGAAATGGTACACATAAACATAGATATCCTAGGCATTGGTGAGCTAAAATGGACTAGTTTTGGCCATTTTGAATCAGACAACTGCATGATATACTATGCTGGAAATGACAAATTGAAGAAGAGTGGCGTGGCACTCATCATCAGAAAGAACGTTTCAAGATCTTATCCAAAATGGCTGTCGGTGATAGGATAATATCCTATCACCTATCACTGTCGGTGATAGGATAATATCCATACGCCTACAAGGAAGACCAGTTAATACTACTGTTATTCAGATTTACACACCAACCACCAAAGCCAAAGATGAAGAAATTGAAGATTTTTACCAACTTCTGCAGTCTGAAATTGACCACACATGCAATCAAGATGAGTTGATTATTATTGGGGATTGGAACGCAAAAACTGGAAACAGAAGAATTACTGATAGTTGGAAAATTTGGCCTTGGTGGTAGAAATAATGCTGGAGATTGCATGACAGAAATTTTGCAAGACCAATGACTTATTCATTGGAAATACCATTTTTCAACAACACAAACAATGGCTGTACGTATGGACTTTGCCAGATGGAGTATACAGGAATCAGAATGGTTACATCTGTGGCAAGAGGCTATGGAAAAGTTCAGTATCTTCAGCCAAAACAAGACCGGGAGCTGAGTGTGAAAGAGACCATTAGTTGCTCATATGCAAGTTCAAGCTGAAGCTGCATACAGCTGAAGCTGAAGACAATTAAAATAGTCCACAAAAGCCAGCATTGGCATATGATCAAAAACCAGTGGTACTGAAGGAAGAAGTCAAAGCTGCATTGAAGGAAATGGCAAAAAACAGGGCTCCAGGAATTGATGGAGTACCCATTGAGGTGTTTCAACAAATTGATGCTTTGCTGGAGCCACTCACTTGTCTATGCCAAGAAATTTGGAAGACAACTACCTGGCCAACTGACTGGAAGAGATCCATATTTGTACCCATTCTAAAGAAAAGTGATTCCACAGAATGTGGAAATTATTGAACAATATCGTTAACATTGCACGCAAGTAAAATCTTGCTGAAGATAGGTCAAAAACTGTTGTGGTAGTTGACAGAGAATTTCCAGAAATGCAAGCTAAATTCAGAAGAGGATGTGGAATGAGGGATGTGATAGCTGTTAGCAGATGGATCTTGGGTGAAAGCAAAGAATACCAGAAAGATGTTTACTTGTGTTTTATTGACTATGCAGAAGCATTTGATTGTGTGGATCATAACAAATTATGGATAACATTGAGAAGACTGGGAATTCCAGAACACTTAATTGTGCTCATGAGGAACCTACGCATAGTAGAGCAGGAGGCTGTCATTCGAACAGAACAAGGGGATACTGTGCGGCTTAAAATCAAGAAGGGAGTGTGTCAGGGTTGTATCCTTTCACCATACTTATTCAATCTGTATGCTGAGAAAATAATCCGAGACGCTGGGCTATATGAAGAAGAGTGTGGCATCAGGATTGGAGGAAGACTCATTAACAGCCTGTGATATACAGACGACACAACTTTACTTGCTGAAAGTGAGAATGATTTGAAGCACTTACTGATAAAGATTAAAGACTACAGTTTGCAGTGTGGATTACATCTTAACAAGATGAAAATCCTCACAACTGGACCGATAAGCAGCATCACAATAAATGGAGAAAAGATTGAAATTATCAAAGATTTCATATTATTTCATTCCACAATCAACACCAATGGAAACAGCAATCACGAGATAAGACAACTCATTGCACTTGGCAAATCTGCTGCAAAAGACCTCTTTAAAGTGCTGAAGAGCAAAGATGTCTCTTTGAAGACTAAGGTGCGGAGCTCTGGTAGCATAGTGGCTAAGACACTTACCTGCTAACCAGACGGCTGGCGGTTCAAACCCACCAGCCACTCCTCGGAAGGAAGGTTGGGCAATCCTACTTCCGTAGTGATACTGCCTTGG